TGAAATGGGATATGATGTGCATAATAGATGAGTCAAAATTAAAAAATATAAAAATCATAAAATTTTGTTCGACCCCGTGCATGACACGGGTTAAAATACTATACTATATTATATTAAATTTGAGAGTAAATCTCCTAGAATTACGACAAGTGGCAAGTCTACATGGCAACATTTTAACAAATCATCCGCCACCTATTAACATTGGCAAGTCTACATGGAAACATTTTAACAAATCATCCGCCACCTATTAACATTTGAATGACATGATAATTTTAATCAAATATGGGAAGATCTAATTTAAGTTGTATACGGAGTATGTGTCTTATGTGCAATGTCGCTATAATTTTTTGGAAACAAATACTCTGTACCAGAATAGGAATAAACATGGAAAAAATACCAAAATAAAAATGTATATTTTTTATCTCCAAATAGGAGCTACAAAATATTAAGAGATTCCTTAGTTTCAAAAAGAAGTTATTGGTAATGCATTTCTATCGAAAGACAATGTTTGTTCTATATATCGAGGTTAAACTATATACAAACTTACAAGAAAAGTCCATTGAAAAGATCAACTATATACAAACTTACAAGAAAAGTCAATTGAAAAGATCAAATCCATACACAGAGGGAGTATTACTGAAGAAATTAGAACCTACATGAAATTTTTTGCAATTGAGTGAGATCTAAAATTAATTTTTTTGATTAAAAATTTTATAAAATCAACTTCTAAAATAATGAAAATAATAAAATAAATTTTTTTAATCAAATTCTAAAATAATAGTTACATTTTTTCACATAAAATTTTAAAAAAATATCACGTAAAAATAATCACATGTATTTTACATCCAAAACTTTTTTCACTTCATATGAATGTATTTTTAAACAGAAAAACAAATATGGTTGCAAAGGTTTTCACAAAGAAAATTACAAAAACATTTTAAAATAATAATAGGTATTTCACTTTTGACTTCATTGAAGTCACAACTACTATTTAAAAATACACAAAAACATATTCACATGGGATATAAACAACAAAATAATATTTTCAAAAAAATAAATCACGTATTTTTCATACGAGAATTTTTTAAAATTCTACATAGATATGAAGCGGGAATCGGAGGCGAGGCCATCCTCACTCGAAATTTACCAGCATGAACATGAGTGGCTAATAATAGAGGGACACAAAACATTATGGTGCCCTTAAATGCAAAATTGGGATAAAATTATAATTATTATAACGGAGACCTAAATTAGAAAAAGGTTAATTCAAAAGGGTCAGTTTGAAAAATTACTCTATATTTAAATGTTGAAAATACCTAAATTTCCTCCATTGAACATCCATTTAACAAACGTATATGCATGACACTGAGTGAATAAATCTCAACTATAAAGTACTACTTTGATAATTATTGCTTAATAAAACTAATTTTGGAAATTACCTAATTCGAAAAGACTATTTTAAGATTATCCAAAGAAATTTATAATTTATAATAAGTTCGAGACTCAGTTACAGGTTACAACCAGATCAAAGAAAATATGATTTCCAATTTGTAATTATTTTTATTTTGATAAAACATTTTATATCTTGACTTGAATACTATCTCGATATAAAATTACATATTTTACTCATAGAGATTTATGATCATTAATTCAAGATTTTCTTAATAATGCATGAAAGAATAATAATATTTTATAATCATTGCGGGGGAGGGGGATAGTTGGGATTATGGATGAGAAGAATCTTATTTTTTTTATTCTCCGTCTCTGAGTATTTGTCGAGTTTTGACTTTTTCCGATTAATTATTTTTAACATTTGACTTATAATTAAATAAAATATATATTATATATTAAGTAGATAAAATAATATTTTGAAAATGAATGATATAATAAATCAAATAAAACTGATTTTGTATTAATATATCATTTTTATTTAATTTGGGGTCAAATTTACCAATTTTGACCAAAAAAATCAAGTGAAGAAATCAGGGACAAAGGGAGTATATAATTTTAAGGTTGGTAATTTAGGTTTTTTAAATTAATGTGAGGAAAAAAATCATTGGATCAGTAATACTTTTTTTATTAATATATTTTTGAATTTATACAGGGAGAAAAATTATAAATTTGTAGAAATACATCGAACCTAGATCATTTATATTGACCTTCAAATAATATGCCAAATAAAAATTAAGATCCACATATTAGAATCGAAAAAAAATTCGTCCGAACCCGTGCGTGGCACATGTAGAAATACTAGTATATTGTTAAACGGTGGGGTTCTAGTGACACCGGAGTACGGTGACACTCCGGTGTCACTATCATTTTGGGGCACTTCCGGTGCTCTGTTCGTAAAATTGACGATTCCTACCCTCCTAACCCACCCCTAAACCCCCCACCCTACCCCTGCCCCTACACTCCCACACCAAACCCGCTGTAAGCCCCCCACAAAATGTGTGGCTATTATGCATATTATTGCATAATAGCCACACATTTTATGGGGGGCTTACAGCAGGGTTGGGGTGGGGTGCATGGGGGGGACAGGGTGGGGGTAGGGTAGGAGGTTTAGGGGGTGGGTTAAGGGAGGGTAGGTACCGTCAATTTTACGAACGTAGCACGAGAAGTGCCCCAAAATGACAGTGGCACCGCTAGTGTCACCAAAAGCCGGTGTCACTAGAACCCCACCGATTGTTAAAATGCTTTTTTGCTTCAAAATGTTCAAAACGGAATTAGGACAAATTTAATCTTAATAATCAAACTTAACCTTTAAATGTGAACTAAAGTGCACAAAAATAAGAGGTAAAAAATATGTACAATTCTAGACCTAACAAATATTTCCACACTTATGCTTTGTTTGGAAGGAGAGAAAATGGAGAGAAAGAAAATAGAGGAAGTGAAAACACAAATCACAATATAAATTCTCTTGTTCGGAAAGAAAAGAAAATGGGAGGAAGAAAGAAAGTGAGAGTGACTTTTTCCTTCAAAATTTTCTCCCTAGAACCGAAGAGAAAAGTGCACAAGGAGATGAGAAGATTTTCCACCTTATTTTCTCTTTATTTTTTATCCATCGAAACACCAATTATTTACCTTCTAATTTCTCCTCATTTTCTTTCTCCTAATTTTATTTCCTTTTATTTGATTTTCTCATCCAAACATATCCTTAAATCTTGAAACGTCCCCACTTCAACCAATTTATGACAAGCTTTCTATGAAAAACCATCTTAAAAACAGATCCTATTCTTCTGCACTTAATCGCCAGGTGAGCAACCCATTGTTAAAATAGTGAAGTAGTTAACTTCCACTTTGACTTATTTTTAGTTTAAAATATACAGTAAGCTTTTTAGAACTCGTCAACTTAAAAGAATGAAAACTCACTTGACACTCAACTTCTCAATGTTTGTTGCACAAATTTGTTATTTAAGAAAATATTTTCCAAGATAATCAATTCAGAATGAACCAATGGAAATATCATAAGTTCTTTTAAAAATTAGAAAATAATCCTTATTCCACATTTCCTTGGCCAGGAATAAACACTTTTAAGAAATCTGCTTTATATATAAATTTGAGAGTTGAATACATAAGAGCTTGACATGTGGCACAATATGGGGTATACATGTTGAATAATATGGGCATATTATGTGGCAATTGATTTATGAGTTAGACTCCATTTAATAATAGTTGAAATGGGATTAAACTTTTATTTTTAATCATAAAATAAAATTACTAAATATAAAAATTCAATAAATCCTATATATTAAATTATTAAAAATTAAATTATTCAATAAATCCTTTATATAAAAAGATGAAACTTTAATCTTTAAAAAGATGAAATGTGCATTACATCTTTTACTATAATATATGAGACTCATGTCTCCAAGAAGTTGACATGTGTCATCTTACATGACCATTTTTAAATGACATGGCGCATGAATAAATTGCATGGCATGCTTTAAATTCTCACTAACAATTTATGGAAATTTATTTATGATAGCCTTTAAAATATGATGAGCTTAAAAAATATATTTTAGATTAAAATTATGGACTTTTGAATTTATTGAAAATTATGTAAATGAAATAAATGTAATTTTTCAACAAAAATTTAATAAATTAATCATAAAAAGAAATTATTCATTATTAGCTCGGGTGTTTTTTCATATAAACAAAAATAATATTAAAAGTCTTTTGAGTAAAATATAATTTTTTTAAAAATTATAATTTATTCTTTTGTATGAAAATTTATTGAGCTAAAATATACTTTGGTGTAGCTCACTTATACCACTAGTTAAAGATGAGAAACGTATTGAAGAAATTTAGTGCATTATGGGTTTATGTATATTAGATAATTTTTAATATAAAAACTTCGTGGTTTAATGTGTTCAATGAATTTTTTAATAATTAAAATTTCTTAAGTATATAATAGGGAGTAAAAAAAATCAATCAAGATTTAAATTTTGTTTGAGATATTATATATATTCACATCACGGTATTGATAGTTTCTAAAAGTATTTATTTTTGATATAAATAGTGTTTATAAATGATAAAACATTTGTTTTTAAATTAGAGTATTTTCATAAAGGAAATATCTTTATCTTTATATACTAAATTTGAGAGTTAAAAAAAAACTCTTAGAATAGCGACAAGTAGCGAATCTAAATTTCTTACACTGAACATCCATTTAACAAACATACACAGAAAAATTAGTCTACATTTAAATATTGAAAATACCTAAATTTCCTACACTAAACATCCATTTAACAAACATACACAGAAAAATACTAAGTAATAAATCTAACTATAAATACTATATAGATAATAAATGCTTAATAACATTGATTTTGAAAAATACACTATTTGAAAAGACTATTTTGAGATTAGTCAAAGAGATTTGTAATTTATAGTTAGGTGACTAAAAGACTTAAGACTATATTTTTTAAGAGAATTACTTGTGTCATGATTTTGCACTATATTTTACAACAAATGGATAATACGTATACTATGAGATTAAACCAAACGCCAAACCTCTATTAGCTTGTTTAGCATCACCGAGATATATTCCTACGAGCTTAAAAATATTTGTGTAAAGGTAATGATATATTTTAATGATTTACTTATGCCCTTTCACTCAAAAACTATTTCTAAACTGTTAAATATATTTTTAGTTAGGGTTATTTTGAAAATGGAAGACACAAAACGAGTTTTTGAAAATTTACATAGGTCTAACGGTACCTGGGTACCGTGTGCCACTCCACATTCACATTAGTAGAACACAAAAACCCATTAGCATTAGAGGCTGAAAAATTACCTGATTTGCAAGATGACTCCACCTGTAGTCTCTTTCAGATTGTTCTCTCCCAAAGTTGTTCCACTGCTCACAAGGTCTACAATTGCATCGACTATCCCCATCTATATTAGGAAGAAATGAGGAAATGATAACAGCAACAACAACCTACCCAGTGTTGTCCCATACATTAGGGAACCATGATAGGTTAAAAAAAGTTTTACATACTCAAAAGAAATTGAAAGTGCGATTGTATTTGAAGATCACCAAAAGAAATGCTGGAAAAGAACAAATGTGATAAAATTTCAAAGAGCAAACCATAACATCTAAAATAGAATGACATATTTCTTTTATGCAACAAATATAGGAAAAACAAACATGGCTCTCAGGCGAGTCTTAACATCAAGTGCAGTAATCGATTTGTGAAAAAGAGAAGAAGTATTTCATTTATATACGTAGTACAATACAAACAGTCAATCTTAATGAGACTGGACTTAAGAAAACTCACAGTCAATCTCAATAAGACGGGACTTGAGAAAACTGAATCTGTTTAAAATAGGTAAATTTGGTCTTACTGCTGGAGTAGCCTTCAGTGCTCCATCTCGAGTTGAAAAGGTAACATGATTTAGTCCTTTTTCATTCATAAACTTGGGCCCCATCTGTGAAAGAAATGAAGGATGTTAAGGGAAAAATATCATCAAACTTAAACATAATAATTGTGACCACAATAATATATACTCTGTACGTGGGAAAAAGAAGATGAATATGTCACACTGCAGTACACCATGCATATGTGAACCCCGTAGCTACTCTCAAGGGTCTCCCAGGTGTCCAATGTGGCATTTCTGCTAGATCCTTCAATGAGTTCACATTCTCGAATATTCCATACTTTGGTATCTGCAGATACGCACATGCATTTCCAGTCGCACGTCATTATTATTGGAAGAATACTAATGGTGATAGGAATGCACATAACATGACACAATTTGAATGTTTTGCTATAAAGAGCTCATTGTTACTCCCAATTTGAGATGATCGACAGTTTCCATATTCTAGAGGATCATGAACTATAAATAGATCTTCATTCCCCTGCCAAGAAGATGTCAAACAGCCTGCAAAAATCATAATGGTTCTACTAAATAACAGAGCATGAAGTCGAATTGACTCAAAAAGAAATCCTAAACATCAGTTTGTTGTTGTACTCCATTCACCAGGACAAATACAAAAGAAAGGCAGATAAATTAGTGACC